TTGTCACACACCTTTCTTAATTTTAAACCATTCAGTGTTCCCATGTTCTGTTTGAACAATTGCCTCTTGGTCTAGGTACAGATTCCTCATGAGCACAATTAACTGTTCAGGAATACTAATACTTAGCAATGTTGTCCATAGCTTGTCATGACTCGCACAATTAAAAGCCTTTGTGTAGTCAGTAAACCACAGGTAAACATCTTTCTGATATTCTCTGCTTTCAGCCAAGATTCATCGGACATCCGTCATGATAACCCTCATTCCATGGCCTCTTCTGAATCCAGATTGAACCTCTGGAAGTTCTCTGTCAATGTGTGCTTGGAGCCATTTCTGTACTACTTTGAGTAAAACTTTACTCGCATGGGATTTCAAAGATTTTGTCCAATGTTTTCCACATTCTGTTGGGTCACCGCTCTTTGGGATGGGCACAAATATGGATCTCTTCCAATTAGTCGACTAGATAGTTGTCTTCCCAATACCTTGGCATAGATGAGTGAGTGCCTCCTGTGCCACCTCACTTTCTTGAAAGATTTAAATTTTTATTCCATCAATTCCTGGTGCATTATTCTTTAACAATTCCTTCACTGCAGCTTGAACTTCTTTCTTCAGTATAATTGGCTCTTGATCATATGCTACCTCTTGAAATGGCTGAACATCAACCATTTCCTTTTAGTACAGTGACTCTGTGTATTCCTTCCATCTTCTTTTGATGCTTTCGGCATCATTCAATAATTTGCCCAGAGAATCTCTCAATAACAAAAGTCCCAGGCTTAATTTTTTTCTTTAGTTCCCCCAGCTTGAGAAATGCTGAGTGTGTTCTTCCATTTTGGTTTTCTGATTCCTGATCTTTGCACATTTTGTTGTAATATTTGCCTTTATCTTCTTGAGCTGATCTTTGAAATTTTCTGTTCAGCTCTTGTACTTCCTCATTTCTTCCATTTGTTTTAGCATCTCTATGCTGAAAAGCAAGTTTCAGTGTCTCTTCTGACATCCATTTAGACCTTTTCCTTCTTTCTTGTCTTCTTGATTACTTTTTGCTTTCTACCTGTATGATGTGCTTGATGTCATCACACAACTCTTCTGGTCTTCGGTCTTTAGTGTTTAATATATCAAATCTGTTCTTCAGATGATGTCTAAATTCAGGTGGGATATACTCAAGGTCATATTTTAGCTCTTGTTTTCATTTTTTTCAGCTTCAGTTTGAAATTGCATATGAGCAATTGATGGTTTCTTCCACAATCTGCCCTGGCCTTGTTTTGACTGATGATATCGTCTCTTTCCACAGATGTAGTCAATTTGATTTCTATGTATTCCTTCTGGCAAGGTCCATGTGTATAATCATCTTTTATGCTGTGTAAAGAAGGTATTTGAAATGAATAAATCATTGATTTTGCAGAATTCTATCATGCGATCTCCAGCATCATTTCTATCACCAAGACCATATTTTCCAACTACTGATCCTTTCCCTTTGCTCCCAACCTTTGCATTCCTATCACCGGTAATGATCAATTCATCTGGCTTACATGTTTGATCAATTTCAGATTGAAGAAGTTGGTAGAATTCTACTATTTCATCCTC